TCACGTCTTAGGGCGTGTTTTGGGTGTTGAGGCGACACCACATCTCACAAGATGTGTTGATATACTCGCTCACATGGCTTTCATTTTACTATTCAAATGGGCAATTTATTTTGAGTAGATTTTTTTACTGGAATAAGAAATTAGTTTTGCAGTCCATTAATAGTCGTCGTTGCTAATGTTTTGAACCATTTTGTTTCTATTTATTTTTCACAAATTGTTGTAATAGATATAAGTATTGGATAATAATCTCTTTTTGGTGTGGAGCTATATTTTCGATTCTACATTTAATTACCTTTTCCTTGAATATGAATATTTATAACCTTTCCTTCTTTTATACCACCGATTCGTAGTGACTTTGCAATATTGGTATCATGCTTTAGGTAAACTAGGGTACTTTTCTTTCACAAGTATAAGGTAGCGAAAGCGTACTTGATAGTCTGCATAATTGAAGGCAAACACAGCCCTCCATGCTAATTTGAATCAGATCTTTTTCGAGGAATCATTACCAATCTTTTCACGCTCTATACGTTATAAAATGCGAAAAACAACCGGGACTTCTCTAAACAACTTTGAAATTCCCCACAGAGAACGAGAATACCAAATAACAGTTCATTTAACTTCGATCAGAACGCCCGAGGGGTACGCAGACTCGTAAACAGTGTCTGAATTGTTTCCTTACACCTGCTTCCATTCCTGTTGGCTTTGACAACATGAGTGTTGCCTTTTAAACGGTGAGCAATAATACCCATAACAAAATTACTCAAGTTCTGTTTTTTTGAAACAATTTTACTTAAGCAGTCTTCACTAACACAACTAGTGCTTTTTCTCTCAATCCTTTTTCATCTCAGCCATCTGGTCCTGGTGGTCTGCGTGAGCGAAACAGAGCGGGACTTGCAAAACTGCACGACGCAACCCACCTGATGCATCACGCGGTACCGAGGTGGGAATTCCTTCGCTCAGAAATGGTCGACTTTAAGTTACCAAGAGAAAAGTTAATTTATTCACCGCTAAATCACAGGATTTGTAGTCACTATCTCGGCTGTGCTTAAATCCATGGCATGTGATCAACTGTGACGGAGATTATGCGCGGAGCACTTTCATGTGGCAAAAATTTTATGCGCAGGCATTGTGGTGGCGATTGTGATTAGGACGAACGGCAATCTGAGTGACTAAATTTAGGCAAACAATAGAAAAAAAGACAAATTAATGAAGAGTCCAAAATAATTATTTCAAAATCTACCATAAAAATAAAGAAGAGTTGTACACATTTGTCTTTACCATCATGCACAGCAGCATTCAAGTTTGGATGAGAAGTATTCTGGTGTTAGTAAAAAAGTTTTTCTAGATACTTTCGGCACACGTGCCTACAAAGTCGCCGTCAGTTAGTTGGAGTACATTTTACTTTCATTTATGTGCTTTCGAGTAAAAAAGTCAAAATAATTGTTCTTTCTCACACATTCTCACATCATCTAGTTTACTGAATTAGCCCTTTGCCATTAATTTTGCTTCTGCATTAGGGTTTAATGTTATAGGAACTTCCTTGTGCTTTAATTAATAACGTAATCGGCGGAAAGGTGACGATCTAACAATCCCCTCAGGCGAGACAAGTGGGATTGTGGACAAATTTTGAATAGCATTCTTTGTATTTTAATAATGTTTTCAGCGAATTTAAAGTTAGAAGCGAATTAGAGGAACTGCACATTCTCCCCTTAACAGCACTAACTCATGAATCTAGGAGTAAATTTATTATTGTGATACAAAGTGGCTGGAAGACTATAAACACAGATCCAGTACAGCGGCTGTATAACGGAGGGTGGTTCGCTCTACTTGAACTTTCAACACGCTCGTTGCTAGCGCTACCGAAGCTCAGATATTTTACTCTCCTAAAGTAGCACTGTTTGACGCCGGTTTGTCCTGAAGCGATTCAAGTGCCGTTCAAAAGTAGATCACAGATGTAATTGCCTTCAGACCAGGAACATCGGGCATCTGTTTTTTTTTAATTAAGCCAAAAATTTTTAGCGGCACGATTTATAAGACGGCAAAGGGCATATCGAACTTTTTGAAAAGTGAGCAAAAGTACGAAAGTTGGTGTGTCACATACATGTGACGCTAGTAGCGAAACAAAAATAAGTACTCAATCTGATTTGATCATTTGGGTGAGTTTTCTATTTAGAGTTAGAGCGTTTTTTCATGCCTATGGCCTTTCAGTCTTTTCATGCGTTATAAATCTTGTCCCATGCTATAGCGCTACAGTCATAACTCTGGAGGTTTTAGAGATCCGGATGACAAATCATGCACGTACATTAGACACTGACGCCCTAATTCCCACTTCGAAAATATTTTACCGTTCCAATTCATCCACAGCGATTAAAAATATCCGTAGTAAAGCCTAAGATAATTCTTGTTTCAAAAATAAAGGGTGGATAATTGTGGAGTAGCTTAGAAGTTGCATTTAAAGCATAATTATCTGCTTTAAAGGCCCTGGACGAAGCAACACATTACATACAAGAACGGTAATCGCCAAATCTTGTCTGCAAACCGCCGTACAGTTGATGGAGCTGTTCGTGTCGCTTTCCCGCAACGGATTCCCCTATTTGAATAGGTGAAATTTACCATTTTATTAGTAGTTTCTATAATCTGAAACACAATCAGAATATGATATCGACTCCGCCTATTTATCTTTAATCCTTTGAGTCGAAATCAATTTAAAGTGCACAAGAGTACCACAATGGTGAGTGAAGTGTATCACCTAAAACTTCCTAGTACCTCCTCAACTTAGTTATCATAACTGCACTAGGAGGTGGCAGGGGTTGTTGTTGTTAAGGTGTAATGTTCCATTCTGATAATTTACAGAAAAAAACAAGGAATGACCGTTTTCATTACAATCTACACAATTGATAGACGCGCTTGTACCACCTAAGGCCATTACGGACAGTATCACAAATCACTAACGTGCTTTACGCATAACAGCTAAGGAAAGTACAACTGAAATAAGAAAAGTCGCAGCAGCAGCGCTGAAGGGCCTAAAATTAAGAATTCCGAGAGCAACAGCCAATTCTACACCACA